CGCTCCGCGCGCATCGACCCCCAAAAACCCCGAAATACCCCCAAAATAACGCTCCCAGAGTTCCTTTGGCGTGGTCTGTGATGTCTAATTTGCATAACCACGCCTCTCAGCGAAGCCCTGAAAACGGTTCGCTGGGGGGGGGGGAGGCGGAAAGAACCGAGCGCCGCCGGAAACACCCGAGTGCGGCGGGTCGGGAAAAGCATCTGATTGGTGGAGGTGAGCGAGGGGCGGGGGCGAAAGGTCCCGAAGCGCCCCCGGACCTACCGGAGCGCGGTGATTGGCGGGGAGCTCCGGAGCGGGGGCGGGGAAACCCAAACCGCGATTTGCGATTGGCCGAGATCCCCCGAGGGGGGCGTGTCCCAGCGCGCCGCTCGCCGCGCCGCCGGAAGCGGCGGCTCAGACCCCGCCATGGCGCCGCCGGGAGAGGAGGATCCCCCTCCGTGCGGCCTCTGCGGCGCCGCCGCTCCGTCCTACACCTGCCCGCGCTGCCACCGCCGCCTGTGCTCCCTGCGCTGCTACCGCGCCCACGGGCCCTGCGCCGAGGCCTTTTACCGCGACCAGGTGCTGCAGGCGCTGCGCGGCCGCCGCGCCGCCGCCTCCCCGCAGCGGGACCTGCCGGCGGCGCTGCGGGACCTGCCCCGGGGGGAGGCCGCGGCGCGGCCCGCGGGGCTGTGGGAGCGGCTCACGGAGGCGGAACGCGCCGGGTTCCGCCGCCTGCTGAGCTCCGGGGAGGCCGCGGCGCTGCTGCCGCGCTGGCGGCCCTGGTGGTGGCGGGGCCGGGCGCCGGTGGAGGAGCTCGGGAAGGAGGATGAGGAGGAGGATGATGATGGCGACGGGCCGGGCCCGCCCCGCCCCGGCCGCGCCCCTCCCGTTCCCACCGCGGTGCCTCCGCTCTCCTCGCTCCGCTCCGCTCCCTGCTCTCCCCTTCTCCGCTTCCAGCTGCCCAACGCCCTGTTCGGCTACGCCTTCGCCCTCAGCCTGCACGGCGGCGACGAGTCGCTGCTCCCCGACCTCCCCGCCGCCGCCCTCGCCGCCTCGGCCGCCCTGAGGGGGGAAGAGCGCGGCCGCCGCTTCCACAGCACGGCCGAGGCTCTGCTGAGCGCCCGAAACGACGCTCGGGCCGCGGGGCTCCCGCTCGGTCCCCTGGGGGACAGCGGGACCCTCCTGGCCGTGGCGGAGCTCCTGGAAGGGCGAGACCCCCGGGACCCCGGCGGGGACGCGGCCGCGGCCTTGGGGCACCTCGGGGCGCTGCTGGAGAAAGGGGCGCGGGCGCTGCCGCCCCCCGAGCGCGGCCCGTTCCGGGCGGCCCGGAGGAAAGCGGAGTTCCTGCTGAGCTGGAGCCGAGAGCAGGACCCGGCCGAGCTCCTCCTGCTCGCCCGGGAGGCCCGGGGGGTTCACGCCGAGGTGGCGGCGGAGGAGGCGGCGGTGAAGGAGCTGCGGGAGGGGCTGGAAAAGGTCTGGGGGGGGCCCAGGAGGCCGCACGGGGAGGGGGGTTTGGGGGGGGCCCGGACCCTCCCCCGGGGTGGGAGGCAGGGGCCGGAGGCTGATCGAGGAGCTGGATTGAGGTGGGAGAGCCTTAATTAATTAATTAATTAATGAATTGAGGGTCTGGAGGTGATGGAAAGCTGGTGGGTTTGGCCCCCAAAAAGCTGCTCGTGGAGGGATGGGACTCATTAAGGGATGGGGTTAACGAGATCCCGAGGAAACGCCGCTGGCTCATTAATGAGCTGGACTAATGAACTTCCAGAGATCCAGGACCAGGAGTTGGACTCATTAAGGGATGGGACTAACGAACATCCCAGAAAGGGGACGTCGAGGGATGGGACTCATTAAGGGATGGGATTAATGAGATCCCAAGGAAACGCCACTGGGAGAGACTCGGCTCGTTAATGAGCTGGACTAATGAACTTGCAGAGATCCAGGACCAGGAATTGGACTCATTAAGGGATGGGACTGATGAACATCCCAGGAACCAGTCCCAGAAAGGGGACACTGAGGGATGGGGCTCATTAAGGGATGGGATTAATGAGATCCCAAGGAAGCACCACTGGGAGGGACCCGGCTCGTTAATGACGTGGACTAATGAACTTCCAGAGATCCAGAAAAGCTGCTCATTAAGGGCTGGGATTCATTAAGGGCTGGGATTAATGAGATCTGGGTGCAGCGGCTCCTGGAGAGGACCCGCTCATTAATGATCTGGACTAACGAACTTGCAGAGATCCAGGAGCAGGAATTGGACTCATTAAGGGACGGGACTAATGAACATCCCAGGAATCAGTCCCAGAAAGGGAACGTTGAGGGCTGGGACTCATTAAGGGCTGGGATTAATGAGATCCTGAGGAAACGCCGCTGGCTCGTTAATGAGCTGGACTAATGAACTTCCAGAGATCCAGGACCGGGAATTGGACTCATTAAGGGCTGGGATTAATGAGATCCCGAGGAAACGCCGCTGGCTCGTTAATGAGCTGGACTAACGAACTTGCAGAGATCCAGGACCAGGAATT